AGCATTAACCAGGCTTGAATTGCTTAGCTTCTAAGATCAGAAGAGACAGGGCACTTCAGGGTGGAGGCTGTAAACCTCTCTTCCCTCTCTTGTGCCCCAGTACCTGTCCTATAACATTCTGCTCTCCTCTTACCCATTCATGTACTTACTTCATTTATTGCACATGGACACCCAATTCTGAATCCTGGTTCTAACTATTCTACTGAATTCTGGACCTCAAATGGTGCAAAGACAAGATCCCCAAACTTTCTTGGTTCTCAGTGTCAATATAGGTTTTCACACGGTACTTGCTTTAATTTTTATCACAGCAATCCCAGAAAACTGTTTTGTAGAGATACGACATGACTGAAAGTAATGCAGATGTTGAAATGGGAAATTACTTTGAGCTAGTAGTTCATAAAGTATTAGACAAATATCAGATGTTATTTCTTCCCTTGAAACTTAAATATTAATTTAGAATGTAACACATATGTACAGGAAAGCAATGTGAGTCAACTCCCTGTATAGCTATCCTTATCTCAACTAGCAAAAACCCTTGGTCCTTCCTATTATTGCTTATACTCTCTCTTCAACAAAATTAGAGATAAGGGCAAAATAGTTTCTGCCTGGTAGTGAGGGGGTAGGTGGGGAGAGGGAAGGGGCAAGGGAAAGGGAGGAGGTGGGGGGAGGGGGGAAGAAATGACCCAAACATTGTATGCACATATGAATAAAAGAAAAAGAAAAAAAAGAAACTTAAATATTTAAAATATTCAGCAGTGCCCTGGTGAGTTGATGTGGCATACTGAGGCCCTAAACACATTTATACATATGACATCATTTAACCCTTAACAGCGCTAGAAGTTAGGAAATCTGTCCAACACCTACCTCACGGTTTGTAAGGAGTAGAACAGAGCCAGGACTTAGACCAAGTGGTCTGGATCCTCAGCCCACATCCTCAACCACTTGGCTATCCTGAATTTACTGATGCTTAGTCGTCTTCTTCTCCCAAACCAAGTATTTTTCTCATTTTTATTTTTTGTTGGACTGGGGTTTGAATTCAGTGCTTTACACTTGCAAAGCAGGGGCTCTGCTGCTTGAGTCACATCTCCAGTCCATTTTGTTCCGATCATTGTGGAGATGAGGCCTCATGAACTATTTGCCACAGCTGGTCTCAAACTGTGTTCCTTCTTATCTCAGCTTCCCAAATAGCTAGGATTATAGGCGTGAGCAACCAAGCCTGGCTTCATCTTTATTTTTGTTATAGTCCTGGTCATAGAATCTGAGGTAAAATGGGCCCCAAGGCTTTTAGCATTTCTACCAGGTGGCTCTCTGGCCCTACTTACTGCAGGCAGAGGCAACCTCATTTCCAAAGCAGTCCCCTATGTTTACATAGTTCTTTTTATACTGAAACAAAACCCAGGAAAAAATACTATTTTAAATAGCTTTACAGAAAATTTTTGTGCCAGGTCAGGTTTAAAAAACATGGTAAGCTGGACATGGCAGTGTGCCTATAATCCCAACAGTTAAGAGGCTAAGGCAGAAGGATCTTGAGTGAGGCCAGTCTAGGCTACATAGAAAAACCCCACCTCAAAAACAAGCAGCCCTCCCCAAACACGGCATATGCACCATAAATATTATTATTATTTTTTTAACTAAAAGTCTATTTTACTTAAATCAGGACTGTCCAACAAAAATATTCTGTCAGCCATTCATGATCTTAATTCTGGTGCTGTGAGATTAAGTTATGGTACACATATAAAAAGCTGTCAGACACTTTCGTTTCATAATAAATAAGGCAGTGCCTATTACTCATTGGTAGCCTTTTCAGATAAGCTTTCAAGTGTGCCCTTTCTCCCTTCTTCTTAACTCCAGCAAAGATCATTTTTGTTCCAGGGATGTACTTTTTGGGATTCTCCAAATACTCCATCTGTATATCCTCTTCCCAGGTGATGCCTTTGTTCTTGTTGGCATCTGTGTAAGAGAATTCAGTGGCCTGACCTGTCTTGTGCCCAAACAGACCATGGAGATTTGGCCCAGTCCTGCGCTTGCCTCCCTTTTCCACTGTGGCACTAGGCACACTTCTGAACAAAAATCTTCTTGCCTTTCTCAACATCACCCATCTTTAATTCGCTCTTATGTTGCTATCACAATGAAGGAAACTGCTCGAAAGCTGGATGCCCTGCTCTCTCCACCATAAATAGTTGTTGAATAAATAAATGATTATATTCAGGCCATTTCAGATTTTTTGGACAGACTTAATAAAAAAAAAAAAAATCAAGGTTTTTGCTATGAAGTAAAGTTTCTAGCAGTTGCTAGCTGTGTGGGAAATCATAGATGAGTAAGTCCCTGACCCTGAGATTACTATTTTCATCATATCCAGGTTCAAAGCTGTAAAGGACATCCCTTATAGTCATTTATGTTTTCAGTTTCCAAGATACAACCCAGTTGTCTACTTTTCCTTCAGTCTCTTGAATCTGCCTCCACAATTTTTTCACAGGATTTTATTACTGACCTTCTGGACTATCATAACCTGATGGCTAGTCTGTTACAAGTCTAACTCACCTTGTATAGCTCTACCATTTTATTTTTAAATTATCTTTTAGATCATACCTAAACCTTGATCATAAACCACTCCTTACCCCCTTATTTTGGCAATTCAGATTCTCTACAATTTGCTCTCAACCTACCTCTGGCAAGACACTGGGAATATAGAAGGAAATTAAAGAGAGATAGAGGTTTGGATGATGAGGATGACAAGCTCCATTACTGACACAAAGGTTTGAAGCACCCAAGGAATCCAAGCAGAAGTATTTTACCAGACAGCTGGAAACACAGGATACTACTTTTTAAGCACTTCTGTCTGCATGCCTTCCCTGCCACCTTTCTCTTCTTTAGGCTTTCTCTGATCACCCTGCTCTCTCACATCCAGTACTGCCTGTCTGTGGCATTATCATGTAATAGCAGAACGGAATTTTTTTTTTTTTTTTTTCAGTATTGGGGCTTGAACTCAGGGCTTACACCTTGAGGCACTTCGCTAGCTCTTTTTTGTGATGGGTATTTTCAATATAAGGTTTCACAAACTATTTGCCCTGGGCTGGCATTGAACCTCGATCTTCCTGATCTCTGCTCCCAAGTACCTAGGTTTACAGGTGTGAGCCACCACACCCAGCTCAGAATGGAAATTCTTAAGGTAAACAGAATCATATACAGAATATATACGTTGTATTTCATGAAGCAATTTTCAAATAAGCTAATGAAAAAACAAACAAGCAAAAAACCCTGCCTTAGTGTTTACATACCAAGACTGCTGTGCTCACGTTGGCTCAGAGGCAGTTTTTCACACACACACACACACACTCCCTCCCTCTCCCTCTCTCAAAAGGCACCTTTGTAGCAGAGAAAGCAATTTCTACCTCATAGACTGAAATGAAACTCCCAAATTCTTGGGAGTTTTTGTGATAGTCACACTATGGAATATGGGCCTGGCTAGCCTCAAGCTCATGCACCAGCAAGGCCTGACTCAAAATTCTTAGCATATTTGGTTTTCTGTTTCTTAGCAGCTTATCTTTCAGATTATATCTGACATTTCACTTTGCACAAATATAAATAAAGGAAGAAAATGATTGTTCTTAGATGGCAAAAGTATGATTTTATTCTTTTTACTATTCTAAGTTTATAAATTCCTTTTATCTTTTTTTATAGTAATAGTAATTTATTCACAAGATACATTCAAAATAAGACTGTTGGCTTTTCTTACTGCTGAATTTACAAATTTTCATAAAAACAATGACTTTGATAACAGGGACAAAAAGTTGAATTTATTTATTGGGCGAGGAGCGATAAAGAAGAATGGTAGAGGGGATAAATTCAAGTATGATATATTTGATGTATTATCTTTTGTAAATTCCACAATATACCCTACCCAGCACAATAATAAATAAAAAAAATTATTTATTTTTCTTTTGAGAAAGAGTCTCACAACTGAGACTGAACTCTTGATTGATCCTCCTACCTCCAACTCAATCCTAATTGCTGGGATTGCAAGTGTGTGCCACCACACCCAGCAAAAAATCTATTTTTTTTTTTTTTTAGGAAACCTTTAACAACCCTAAAACACAACTGTTAGAAACCTTCTTGAGTGTGAGGAAAGAAATCAAAGGCAGGTGCCTGATTTCTCATTCCCATCTTCCCAATGGACAGTGAGTTCAAGATCAAGAACTGTGCTCTGTCATCTCTGCACCTCTGGGCAGCACCACAGGACAGAGCACTCATATGGCGAGAAAACATGCTGGACACCAAAATGAAAGTCTTCTTTCCACTAACCCGAAGCAGCAGGTGGGAAGTTGTCAGCTTGTTCTATTAACTTGACTGGTCATTATTCTACTAGTTTGGAAAATCTCTTTTCCCAAAATAAACTTACATCTCTCAATTACCTTGGTGTACAGTGTTGCTAAGGGGGGCTAGGGCATAGCTCAAGTGGTGGAGTGCCTTCTTGGCAGAAAGTACTGCTAAAGGAAATAAACTGGGTGTAGCAGCTTCTATGAATTCTAAGAATCAGCCAGAATAAGCCATAGTACTCTTAAGACTATGGCTGCAGCCAGGTGCCAGTGGCTCACACCTGCAATCCTAGCTACTCAGTAGACAGAGATCAGAAGGATCACAGTTTGAAGCTAGTCTGGTAAACAGACCCTATCTTGAAAAAACCCTTCACAAAAAAGGGCTGGTGGAGTGGCTCAAGGTGTAGGCTCTGAGTTCAAGCCCCAGTACCACAAAAAAAAAAAAAAAGAGACTATAGCTGGCACAATGGGAAAATAACTCTTAAGAAAATCCATGAATAATTAAGATTGCTCTTATTTTTGTACCTGACAAACTTGGCCATTGGTAATATTTTATACTTTATATCACTCCCCCTCACCTTGCTAAATTCCCGATGGTGCCCCTCAGCTGTTTAACTCCAAGTTCATTTACTATTCAGAAGAACCATTTTTATCACTTTACTCCCCCTTCAAAAACCATTTTACCTTTTCTCCTCTCTCTCTCTCTTTGTCCTTCTCTTCTTTTTTCTTTTTTTTCTCGCCATGTCCATCCACATGGAGGGCAGGAAGTGGTGGGGCAGCAGCAGTGGTTCCAGTGTATGGGACGCTGGGAGGAGGGCCAGGTGTCATTGTGACCTCTCCTGCTGGTGCAGCAGAAAGTCCCGAACTTCTCTTTGACTTGGAGTGCCGCTTCTCTTTATGCTTCTCCTTGTCCTTCTTCTTTTTGCTCTTCTTTGACTTCTTTTTCTTCTTAATTTCCCGGTAAGAATCATCTATCACTAACTCACCAGCCTCTAGCTCTCCACCAGAAGATGAGTCTGATTCCACTAGAATGGGTTCAAGTCCTGAAATATCAAGGTTAGCACTGTGGGATTCTGGGAGCTGGGAGGCATCAGACCCACAGCCCTCAGGACCAGGAGACCCATGTGAGTCTGAGGATGACTTGTGCTTTTTCCGGGCTGTTTTCAGAAAGCTCTGCAACTCATGTCCTAGGAGTAAAGCACCTTGCTCATCCCGAGCTGATTTCTTAGAGGATTTTTTCACAGTTGTCTGATGCGAAGGGTATTGAAAAGATTCCTCCTCAACTGAGCAGCTTCCCTTCTCCTTTGGTGAGAGAATAAGCTTCATCTTTAACCCATCAGGTTCACGAAGGGTCAGAGTCTCTGTGTTCACATAGAGGGGCTTCATTTTTTTGGATTTGTGGGTGCTACCATCCTCCAGGGAGAGCTCCCCACTGTTTCCACTTCCTTTCTTCCTGTGGTGCTCTTTTTTACTCTCCAAATGGCTTGAAGAGCTAGAGGATTTCTCCCCTGCCTTTTTGGAGGGCTTGGAGCCTGGTGCCAATGGAGAAGTGATAGCTTTCAACAAGTCCATAGCTGTATCAGCAGACTGCGGGCTAGACCTTTTCTTTTTCTTCTGTGATGATTCCAAAGACGAAATGTCTAGAAATAATCAAGAGAAGTACTGTCAACAGGACAGGGAGCAACTTAGTGAGTTTCCTTTTTCTCCAAAAACACCCAACTAACATGAGGAAGAGCCTAAGGCAAGTGATTTGAGGGGAGACCCTTTGTTTCCTAACATTCAGAGATGACACCCATGTGGTTCTTGGCTTGGTAGAGCTTGTCTTTGACCCTTGAGACCATTCTTGCCACTAAAAGTTGTTCTCTTCACTGAGTCTTCACAAACAACCAAAGAGAATATGAAGAAGACTATAGCTGTGGGATTAAGGGTAGTTACAGTTCAGATTAGATGGCAGAGAGAGTACCATTTGTTTCTGTGTTCAGAACAAACTCATTCTGGTGAAAGGTTAGACACAGCTAAGAAAACTGGTTTTGTGAGTGGATATACACTGGTTGAGAAATGACCTGTAGACACAGGCCAGAAGGCCCAAGGATTGCATTTGGCAAAAGGGATGCTAGATAACAATAGCAAAGTGGATGATTCGGGGAGGGGAGAAGGAACCTGGTACCTGGTATATCACAAATGAAGACTGTTCTTCTATGCTGAATCCTCCAAAATACCAGCCCTCCACCTCTCTCCTCCTTCACACTGGTTTATCGGCACTCAGAACAAGAACCACTGTCCTGTTAAATAGGCCACTGAGTCAGCAACATCTGCATCCCTTTCCCCTACCCGACTCCAAGAACCAGTGCTGTGCTTATCCCACTGTTGCCCTTACCTCCATAGTAGTAATCATCAGAAGAGTGCTTCCTCTTCTTCTTGTGCGTGTCCGTCCCCAAGAAGTAAAGGTCACTATCCTACAATTAAAGAGGAAGAAGAAGTGACCAATAATAAGATGGAAAGGCAAAGAAGTTCAGAACCATTCTTGTTCTTTGATGAGTTTTGACTTTGGAAAACAAAATAAAGCACAGAAAATAATAAAAACAGCCGAGGCTGGTGGCTCATGTCTGTAATCCTAGCTACTCAGGAGGCAGATACCAGCTCAAAGCCAGCCTGAGCAAACATTTTGAGACCCTATGTTGAAAAAAACCCATCACAAAAACAGGACTGGTGGAGTGGCTCAAGGTATAGGCCCTGAGTTCAAACCCCAGTACCACAAATAAATAAATAAACAAGCAGCTCTGAACAATTATTTTTTCTTTTCCAATGTTTTAAAAAGATACTTCCATCTTTAAACATTAGGAAATAAGATAATAATTAGTTTAAAACTTCACTAATTTGAATGTTTAGAAAGTACCTTTAACTTCTTCTTGGAAGAATTCCTGACCTGAGCAGCGATTTCTTCCTCTTCCCTTAAGAAGTCTTTGTAGGAACGTTTCTTTTCTCGTTGGCTTCGGCCAGCTGCAAGTCCTATATCATCAAAGCTGTGATCACCATCAAAGCAATCTGGAAAGCACAGGTTCATTTGGGGAAGGAAATAAGAAAGCTAAGTAACAACCAAATGCAATAATTCTTCTATTTCCAAATTAAAAATTGTTTCAATGATTCCGCTGAAATACAGGGCTAGACCTAGAGCGTTAAGAATATCTCTTGATGACCTGGCTGGAAATGCCAAGAAATGAAACCTGAAGAAACAATGCTTCCGTGCTATGCAAATGCTCAGTGTGCATCCTCAGACATGGTTTCTTAGTGGTGATTTGGCAGGTAGACACAGACGTGCAGAGGTTAGGCTGACAAAAATAAGGATTCATGTGCTGCGCTGCTCTGTGGGAGTCCAGTGTGAGATTCCTATCCCCAGAGTCCTGCACACTGGAGCTGGCAAGGACCAAGAGTGCTGCAGGGGATCACCCCAATAAATTTAAGACTCTCACTTCAGACTCTCGTGTTGGAACCCCTGTCCTGGTTTTCGTTTCCACAGGCCCAGACTGGGGATGATGTGGAGGCTGAGTGTCATAACAGTGCTCTGGACCATCACTTGGGAGTCCAGGCTGTGGTGCCCAGTCCGGGTCTCTAGATCCATGGGCTGCAAGGACTGAAGAGGATACCCCCTTTGGAATGCTTCTCTGAGTAAGGGGTCATACCTTCTTTCTTCACGGAGTCATCATAAGCCATGGCGGTCCTGCAGGGCCTTTGAGAATGTGTCACTGTGTCCAGGCGCCTTCCCGTCTACAGGACCAGGTCTGAGAAACAAAGAAGGAAAACCTTCCTGTAATGCGAAATCACTGTGCAGAAGCAACCTTCCAGGTGGAACTGCGGTGATCCAGGGCTGACTGGAAGGACAGCAAGAAATAAAGGAGTGTCTTGTCACCTCCTCATTCTGTTTGCAAATATACTGGGGTTGAAATTGCAGGAAGTATGCTAGGCTCAATTAGATTTGATTCACGAATTAAAGTTGTCACTTGGAGAAATATATAAAATACTTCTTAGATTAAAAAAAGTACTTCCAAAATTAACGAGAATTTCTGGAATGCCAACAGGACTGACAACACAGAGACAAAGTAAAAACTGACATTAAGTCAGAGGGGTGGGTTCAGTCATGGTTACAGGATGCACAGATAAAGCCAGATGCAGAGGAAGACAGATTACACCAAATACTTGAAGACTATAAAATCCTACCAACTGGTTGGAGAACCAGTAAAATTTGCTGTATTGTAACTTAAACAGCAATGGTACCACTATAGGCATATTAAAAAAAAATTTTAATTTTTGTTTGCATTCTGCTAGCCTTGATGAATTTGCTAAAATCCATCAGTGTAAAAGTGGGTATATTTCTTACAGTAGTTTGGCCACATGACAATGTTGAACACTAATAGGCAGGTGAGAAATAGAGGAATTGTCTTTGGCCACTAATACTGACATTTTTGTGATTTTAAGATTTTATGTAATGAAAGTACTATCATTTAAATATTGTAAATATTGAATATTTAAAACTTTTTTTTGGCATTCAAGTTCGGATGTCCTTACTGACAATGCTATATACTACAGTGTAAGGCAAAGTTCTTCAAATACCTGAAGGATGGTCTGCAGGATGTCTTTGCAGGAAATTTAAAGTTATATATTTAATATTTTGAAAATATTCTCATCCAATTAGTCAAATGTTTAAAAGCCAATCTGACTGATCATTCATTTAAATTTTATTTTACCATCCTCATTACAAATGAGATTTAGAAAAATTGAAGGACACCTGAATAACTCATTACTAATCCCTTCAGGTAGGAGTGGAGAAGAGGGAAGTACATAACTTTTGTGAAAGAAAATATGAATTTGATTAACAAGGTTAACTTTCATAAGTTAACATTTAAAAAAAAGACTTGTTTGCAGTCAGATAAAATACAATACACAGGTAGGCCCAACTTGAAAACAGGAAAAAGAAGTATCACCAAGAATGATTTATCAGATTAAGAAACACAAGAGTGAAGGACGGACCTGCTCAAGGTAAGAGAAGCTAGAGTGAAGTAAAAGCACGGAATTAACTGGGTTATTTTAAAGATAAACTGGAAAACTGCTTGTTCAAAGGGCCTTTTCATGGGAAATTAAAGGTATATAAGGTCAGGCCTCAAGGAAAAATGCAAGGAAACAAGATACACATGTAGCCAGCTCTTAACTGGGAACTACGGCTTCTACTTCCCATCCAAGTGGTGTTGACTACAAAATGGGTGGAGAGTCACAGGAATTATATTCATTCATTTAAAAATGGTGCTGAAATACTGAGTTTATTAGAAAAACACACAGATGACATTAGTTTTCATATGGTGATAATGCCAAGAACTACCACAGCTTGAGACCTCTTGTTCAATGTTTCTTGTGCCCAATGAATTTTAGCAAAGAATGCTTAAGAAATAATGGCAAAACTCCTCACAAAAAAACCTTATTGAATATCATTAAACATAGCCATTATTCTGTGGTCACCAAAACATGCACTATTAAATGTAAGCAAAGGCAGATCCAGCCACTTATAAGCAAGCTTTCTCTTTGAGACATCAAAACTAACATCAGTCAAGCAATCTGAAGTCAGACCAGGAGTAAATGCCTCTGCAGACAGTAAGAAAAAAAAACAAAAAACCCCAAACAACTGTGACTTACGGGACATGAAAAAGCACTCAATGTCTCATAACTGATGGCTTTGAAAAACTAGTGAATTTAAAGAGAAAATTAGGAACTGCTCCTTAGAGGCAGGCTAACACAGAAAATTTGTGCTGGTACTGGCATTATGTTTTAGAAGTAGGCCTGCTAACCTCCTTAAAAGCACCAAAGAACATTTCATAAGCTACAGAATCAAATAATACCTATAGAAAAAAAATGAACAGGACCTGAACACAAGTCCAATTCACCAACAGCTGGGGAAGCTAAGAGCTTGAACAACACCATGTATTATATCCTCCCAGCCTGGGCACACTGATGGGCCCTGATGTCTATGTTCTTTAACATCAGGATATTATTGCAGTTCAGGGGTTAGTTGTGGTGGCTGGTCATAAAAGAAAGATGATTCCAGATAAAGAAGTCTCAAGCAACAGTGTGAAAGAGAGGCAGAGTTCAAGCAACACTTATACAAGATTAGATGAACCCCTAATATTCTTTCCAGGTCTTGATATCATCCATGAAACTCCAAGGTTCAGGGGTGGGAAGCAGATTGGGAGGATTAATGAAGATGAAAAATTAGGTTTGATTTTCACATTAGAAAACATAATTACATTAAATGTTGGCAAATGTAAGACAGGTGTTAAAACCCATTCTCCTGAATTCCATAATTTTGGAGTTCACAAAATTCAACGCTGTCAACTTCAAGAGGCAGGAATAATTTTACACTGATGTTTGTCTTGGTGCTAAGAAATGACAACGTAAGTAAAAAATTCATCATGTAACTGTTTATGGAAATAAGAAACATGCTATCATAAAAATGCATACTTGGGAAATGTGCAAATTTTTAAACTGGCTCTTCTGGGATTTTTCTTCAAATATGAACAAGGGGAGGTAGAGGTGCTCTTCCACTTGGAGGTAAAAATACAAGTTACCTCTAGGCAAAGCCTTTTGGGATAACCAAAGGAATTACGGAAAATATTAACATCATCAGATGTAGTCCTTTGTTATTTTGAAAATTCAAACTGTAAACACCAAAAAGTTTCAGAAGGTGAGTTTTTGAGGTAGCAATCACTACTAAGCTTCATCATCCCAGAATGTAAACGAGATTGAAAAAGCAGAAAGAAAAAAAGACCTACAAAGTGGGCAGTAAGAGAAGCCCTAAGATCCAGGTGCAGTCCAGGGCGAGCTTTGTCCGAGGTCGTTCTTGTTTCCCTCTTTTGCTAGCACTCCTTGCAGGAACTCAAATTGCCAGTCCGTGCGTGCAGGTAGAGGAAGACGCGCATCCCGCTCTCGCCAGTTTCTGACATCTCGGCGGTAGTGACTTCCAGGATGGGAGCGGGCGAGGTCTTCTCATTTTCCCGGGTCTCCTCCGGTCTCTGAACAAGGGCCTATCTCTGCAGCACTCACAGCCCCTGCCAGCTCTGGAAGCTGCAGAGCTCCCCAGAGCCTGGGATGGGGACGAAATCCTGTCATCGCACAGCGAACCACGACCACCGCACAGACCGGCTGACCACACTCGTTTCCACCCGACCGGCCATCCAAATTCTGACAGGCCTCGTGCGATCAACAGGCTTTCCTTTTGCATTCAGTTTCTGAATTTATCCTGCTACGAGGGAATGTAACCGGTCACCGCCTTAGTCATCAGAAAGAGGGGGAGCAGCCTTTCCTTCTCTTCTGCACGATATGGAATAAGTGGAGCTACAGGTAATAGTGGCGGAGGGAAAACGGGCCTGGAGGGAGAAACTCCCCCTAGGAAGAGGGTTCCAAGTTGGAGAAGCCACGCCACACCCGGGTGTCCACGCAAACTGCCATGGACCACCATGCCTGCACCCCCGGGGACCCGGGGGGGGACCGTGCTGCAAACACAGCCACTTCAACAAAGCTCCGCGTAGGGAAGAAGCCAGGCGCGCTCCCCGCATCCCCTCCCGCCCGCGCGGCCGCGGCACCCTTTCCCGGTGACAGCCCCGCGCGCCCCGAGTCGCGGGTCCCCAGCCGCGCCGGGCCCGACCCGGGTCCCCGGGTCCCCGCGTCCCCACGGCCTCCGGAGCCCCCGAGGGCGGAGGCGGCGGCGCAGGAAGAGGGGAGGGGCGGCGCGGTCCTCAGGCCCCCGGGGCGGCCGCACGCCCCCTCCCGGCCCCGCAGCTTTCCCGCCTTCCCCATTTGAACAGCTCCCGCCGCCTTCCTCCGGCGGCCCGCTCCGGCCCCTTCCCGGGGGCGGCTGCGGCCGCTACTCCAGTCCCCGGCTCGGCCCCCCCCGGCCAGGCCGCGGCGGGTCTGGGGCGCTCCCGGAGCGGTGTCGCGGACCCGAGTGGCAGGCGATGTCGGGGCAGAGCCGCTGCCGCCTCGGGGTGGAGGCCCGGGCCGGTCTCGTGGGGGTTCCGCTCGCCGCTACCTTCACTCGGCTCGCCCGGATCCCGCCTCGGCACCGCCGACCGCCGCCATCTTGAAGAAGGAGAGAAAAGCGCGAGCGGCCAGGGAGCCGCTGTGGAGCGCCGAGCGCAGAGCCCCCTCGAGAGGAGCGCCGAGCGCATCGATCAGCCCGGCCTGCGGAGACCGAGCCGGGCTTACCCAAGGCTCGCTCTGCACCCGCTAGACGCTTTCTGAGCGTCGTATCATCTCCCAAGTCTTCTGATTCTTCATGCACTGGGGCTTGAACTCAAGGCCTTTACCTTGAGCCACTCCGCCAGCCCTGTTTTTGTGAAGGGTTTTTTTGAGATAGGGGCTCATGGAACTATTGGCCTGGACTGGCTTCGAACCATGAGCCTCCTGGTCTTTGCCTCCTGAGTAGCTAGGATTACAGGCGTGAGCCACCTGTGCCCGGCCCTTTCAAGGTATTTTTGTACAGTAGTCATTCCCCTGTGCAAAACTCAGAGCCAGGCAGCTTGCGAGCAGTGGTGCTTTGTGATTTAGCCCGTGATGTGAGGAGGAAGAGCATATGTTATATTTTTGTAACAATGCACTGTAAAATATTTTGCATGCAAAATCATTACATTGCTCCTGCATAAATTACTTTCATTTAAAAGTTAGAAACAGTCCTCAGAGAGAGAAGGCGAGATCACTCAGGTATAGGCGTGAATCTGATTTCTCTGATTAGCCGTGGAGAACTTGGATCAATGAGTAGACATTACAATATACAGAATTTGGTTTAATACAAAGAACCTGTTTTTCTAACTTGATGAGTGACCATGAGAGGAGTAGTGAGCTCTCCATCAATGGGAGAACTTCAAGCACAAACTGGCCTCTCTCTTAGTGAAGAACAGAGGAGTTAGAGATATAGGTTAGCTTCTAGGGCTGTGAACCCCATGAAATAATGCAAAGTCGTATGCTCGTGCACATGTATTTCTGGGGCCTAGACTTCATCAAAGATTAAGAAACCCTTAGTGGGGTGCCGGTGGCTCATGCCTGTAATCCTGGCTACTCAAGAGGCAGAGATCAGGAGGATCTTGGTTCCAAGCCAGCCCCAGCCAAATAGTTCCAGGAGACCCTATCACGGAAAAAAAAATCACAGAGAAGAGCTGGTGGGTTGACTCTAAGTGTAGGCCCTGAGTTCAAGCCCCAGTACTGAAAAAAAATTTTTTTAAGAAACCCTGTACTGGCAGGCTTTCTGTTCCAGAATTGAATGAGCACTTAAAAATGACATAGCTATGAGACCAGGAGGAGCAAAGGTGTTTTTGTCAGACGTCACTTCTCATGAGTGATCAGATGAGGATTAGGGAAAAGTCCAGATTATCAAGTTTGACTCCATACTCTTTTTTTGCTTTGTTTAGTTCTCTCCCCTTCTGCACTGAATAGAAGACTGGATTCTGTTTAATTGTTGCCTTTACAGCTGTCAGATGGTGAGATGTGAAGACATCTGAAACAGAGTTGCTGAATTTATTCCCAAAAAAGGAAATGCAAATAATAATGGAAACTAAACCAGGCACTGTGGCTCACCCCTGTGATCCTAGCTACTCAGAAGGAAGAGATCAGGAGGATCACAGTTCAAAGCGAGCCGGGGCAAATAGTTCACAAGGCTCTATCTCCAAAAAGCCCATCACATAAAAGGGCTGCTGGAGTGGCTCAAGTGCTAGAGTGCCTGCCTAGCAAGCATGAGGTTCTGATTTCAAGCCCTAGTATTGTGGCTTTTTTCTCTTTAGCTCTTATCTTGCTCACCAAAAAGATAGGCAATGAGCTTCATCAAAAAGTGAAAACTTGCATTTCTGGGACACTTTGCCTGACGTTAGACCGCCCTTTGAGGTATTTAAGAACCTTATGAATGTATTTTCTTTTTGTTCTTTAATACTCTGGAGGTATTGGTCACTTCAGTTGTCAGAGACAGAAACCCAGTTCAAAACAGATCACCAGAAAAGGGGTGTTGATTGGTTCAGACTATTGAAATCCCCAGTAGATTCAGGTATGACTGGATCCAGGGAGGGAAGTTGGGTTAGCCCCTTGTTCTCTTTGTGGTGCTTTCCTTCAAGTTGACGTTATTTTTAGACTCTTAAGAGTTTGGCTATCATCTTTATCAAGAAGTGTCCCCAGGGAGGGAATTTCTTTTTCCATGTTGCTTTGACAAAGGTCATGGGAGAATGGCTCTTTTGGCCTGAATTGAAGCATATGTCCAAACAGAAAGCAATCTCTATGAGCAAAAGTGTGGGGTATGGTGATTGGCTAAATTAGGTCACATGCTCACCTCCAAAAGTAGGGTAGGGAAAGGAAAATCAGGACTTACTGACAGAAGGGTGAATGGCTGGTAGGTAGTCAAAAATAGTACCTGTTCACTCATTGTATTGCCACCTTGGATCTGAATGTGTCATGAGTTCCACATGCCCCATTTTTTCTTTTATCCCACCTGAGGATGGGGCCTATTAAATTTTTGTTCAACTTAAGTTTTCACAGACCTGAAGTCACATAGCTCCACAGCCTAGAAAATGCTATTAATTTGCTCCCAATCTGGATTCACTACAGATTCATTCCTTCATTGAACACACCCTTATTGAAAACACAGCATGTATCAGGTAGGAGTTTTGGAGCTGCAGATTGGTAAAAGAATTTACCAAGACAGGAGAGAAGGAGAAAACAAAGATTTACTAGGATGCCATCAGAAAGAAAGAAAATGGAGGACGGCTAGGCCAAAAATCACGGTGCTACTACTGCACTGAGTGGGGTTGGGGATAGGCATTTATGGACTTCACAGGTGGGATTTTGCTGATCGATTGCTTCTTTGCAGGGTGGGTGGAGGGGCTTGTTGATTGGTTGTCTCTTCCTGGGATCATGGTTTGAATTTTGCCAGTTGGGAATTTAGCCCTATTTTCCCATTCTAGCATTCCTGGAGCTTGGTGCCTCCTTCCTCATTCCCTTTGGCTCTTGATAGTTTTGTTCCCATCATGCTTCTATAAGGTGTGGGGTGAGGGGGTGTGTGTGGGGGCTTTCCTCCACATTAGGCACTGTCCTTGGGAATAGAATGGAGAACAAAATTGAGGGTCCTTGACCCCTCCCCATGTCCTGTAGTTTATATTCTAGCTGGGGGGAGGGGGACAGAAAATTATACTATGTTGGGTAAAAAGTGGAGAAAAATAGAGTAAGAGAATACTAATTACTAGGGCAGGTAAGGGTGGGAAGGGGCTGTTCTTTAAAATAGTGCTGGGGAGGATTTGACCAGGTGCCTGCTGGAGGCTAGCCCAACCACAGGGGGTTGGCAGCTCTGCTGGAGGCCATAGCCCTTTGAATGAGTTCAAGTTCTTCCCCAGTGAGTAGGTGGAAGAATGTTCTTGGTGGGTAGCCTATTGTTTTTTTGTTTTGTATTTCTGAAGCTTGGAGAGAGAAAGGAGGACTCCTTGGATAGCTCGAGATGGAGAAAGGTGTGGTCCGGGTGAATCAGAATGCGTTCAGAAAGTAGTGAAATTCAAAGCAGCAAAAAATGGAGAAAATCAATGAACCAAAGGGCTAGCCCTAGCTCTTTGATAAAATCAGTAAAAGAGTAAGAGAGAAAGACCTGGCGCTGGTGGCCCATGCCTGTAATCCTAGCTACTCAGGAGGCAGAGATAAGGAGATTGAGGTTTGAATCAGCTTGGAAAATAGTTCTCAAGACCCTATCTCAATAAAACCCATCACAAAAAAAGGGCTGGTAGAGTGGCTCAAGGCGTAAGCCCTGAGTTCAAACCCCGGTACTGAAAAAAACAAACAAACAAAAGTGAGAGGGAGACTGAGAGAGGGAGAGGGAAGAAGAGAACAGAACAGAGTGTTTTATATATAATAGGGGATATCATTACAGATGTTATAAGTACCAAAAGAATAAGGGCCCATGAACAACTCCACACACATGCATTTACCAACTTAGATGAGATGGACCAATTCTTCAAAAACACAAACACAAACCATTTTACTGACTGGAAATTGGATTTATAATCTAACTCCCCCTCCCCAATAAATAAAAAGAAATTTCCAAATGGTTTCACAGGAGAATTCTTCCAAATGTGTAAATGAAACCAGAGTTTTGAATCCAAGGCCCACGCTCCTGGGATTCCACATGCCAGGTTTGGCCACTTGCTCCTACACACCAGACAGAGGCTGGTGAAGGCAGAGAAAGGAGATTTATTACATCACTCAGGACATGCCACGGGAAGAGGCAGAGTAAGCACTCAGCTCATCCTCAGCCATCTGACACGGGCTGTAGGTCTGAGTACACAAAAGAACTGGGGGCAGGGGACAAGGTATGCATAAACAGTCCCAGTCACAGGTGTGGTCCACTTGGTCACTATCTCAGTTCTTGTTCTGGGACAGGGTTGTTATCTAGAGTCGGGCAGGTGGTCCATGCTGATGAGGCTTTACTGTTGGGGGTAGTTTCAGCCTCTTGTCATGAAGATGTTATCCTCTGTCTTTCCTGGAATCCAAGGTGATTGCAAGGTGACTGCAAAGAGAATGGTTTAGAGCAAAGACA